AAAAGCAAGAAAACAAGCATACAGAAGGAGAGCAAGAGACTACAGCAAAGGGAAGCAGAGCAGAAAGAAAACAGGGAAGCATTGTCTTGAAAATACGCTTCTGAGAGGAACCCTGAAGTTTTCTGTTCTCTTTGCCAATGAGGTAAGTAGAGACAGACCTAACTGGAAAATCTACCATTTCCTCACCTATTATTTTTTGTCTGCCAGAAATTTCCAATGAATTTACTAAGCTGGTTGTGAGTTTTAAATCTCTTGGCTGAGACAACAGGAATCACAGTTGTACTGCAGATTGGATGATATGTACTCCTGATCACGGGTGTGAAACACAATGCTGGAGAGTGATTGTTGTCAGGAACTGCATTACTCTTCTGTGAAAAAAAGCCTGAGGTCTGGAACTTTTCTGAGCTTGACCACTCTGTGAGCAAGAGAACCAATTTTTAGTTATACTTTGCAATGCAGAAGGAGTCAGACACTCATATTTCTCCTTAAAGGGATAGTCCTTGATTGAAACAAGATTTAAGTATGTCATCTTTAATAGGACTGGTAAATAGATTTTAAAAATACAATATACCATGCAACTGTATGCATATTATTCTTGGCTAAGCTTGTTTATGATTTAAATCAAAATATTATGATAGCTATTTTATGAGGTGACAACACAGATTGTTTTTCATTATACTGTATGCAAAGAGTGGGAAACGAGAATAATCCATCTTTATAATATATTCCTAATTGTAATCATTTTTGCATAACAGACATGGTTATAGAGCATCCTTCCCCTAAAAATTCCTCAGTGTATCCAACAGTATTAAAAACACACTCTCTGTTAGTGGTAAGGCAAACTGTGTGCTGTGGGGTGTTGTCTGAGCCCTTCCCAAACACATCCATGGAGGATCAGAGCAAGGAGTCCACCACTGGGTCAGGAAATGCATGCACATAAATATGCAGACCATGTCCTTTGGTCTTGCTGGCACTGCTGTCAGTCACGCCTGCTGCAGCCTACAGAGATGCTCTAACATTGCTTTCTAGACAAGGAATTGGACAGGCACCTTTCTCCATACAGCAAGGAAAACAGTCCCTCAGGCAGCAGTTTTGCTGAGGCACACCCAGAGACAATTGCTCTGACTTCAGCTGGAGGGACGATGCAGAAGCACAACCACCTGTTAGCAAATCACAGAAACTCCCTGCAGTAACAGGCTAAATACCTCACCCAGCTGGAAGCACATGAAAAATAAAAAAAAAAAAAAAAAAAAAAAAAAAAGAGGCAGGTTTTGTTTGGGGTTGGTTTGGTGCAGTTTTATTTTAAAGGGTCATAACGGGTGGTGGTGCGCAAGCATCGCCAGGGAGGCCCCGTCCCATCCATTGGAATGGAGGCGAGAGTCTTGAGAAAAGCACATTGTTCTGCCACAAATCTATTTGCCCATTCTCACTGAAGTGAATAGCCCTTCATTCCAGTGGGAATTTGTGCCATCACTTCAAATGTTATGCATATAAGTTAATTTCACACTGCTTCAGGACTTTGTTTTCAAACTACCAAAAGGGTTAAGAACTGAGAAGCAAACACTTGCCAAACTCCCCAGTCTAAACTAAGGGTAAGGGATTTTTTTTTTTTTTTTTTCCATGGGGGGAAGACAAGTGGATGGACAATGGCCAGAAAGAGAGGGAAATAGGGGCTGGAAATAAAGTACAGTCTTTTGTATTTCTACAGCTCAAAGATGCTTTTTAACAGGACTGCTGCCAACTGTAGAAAAGCATCTTTTTATGGACAAAATATGCCAGTGACAACGGATTTACAAGAACTGAGCCAGTGTGTCCTATACGCATTTCTTCCATATTATGCAAGATTAATTCTTTGGAGCATCATGCCTTCAGGAGTGTTCTAAGCATTGGGGAGCCAAATTTAGACTTGATATCATGAAGTCAAATTTCCTTTTGTACCACAAAGTCCCCAGGATGCCTGATTACAACAGTGCTGAATCTGGCACTGGAAGATGTTACCTACAGACTGGGCACAGTTCTGCTTAAATATGACAAATTGCATTTGCTTCCTTAGCCTGCATGTATTGATGTACATAATTTGGTGCTAGACCTTCAAAACATTTTATTTTAAACAGACTTAATGCTTTTTGTTGTTTTGGAATAGAAGGAATAAAAATATAGCAGATGGCAATTTGAATATACTTGTCACAAACAGGATTTTAAGGTTGCACTCTCAGTTACACTATGGCCCCATTATATTTCCTGCCCATCCTAGGAATGCCTTAAACTTGGTGTAAATGTAATTATGAAATGTAATTTGTTTTGATGCTAACTATAAAATGGGATTTATCTGTATAGGACTCATCTATACAGGGAAATGGAATAATTACACCCAATTAAAATATCTACCTGGGATGTTACATCAGCAAAGCTATAGCAGTATAAATTATTCTGCTACAATTATGTTCATTAGTTTTCCCGGGTAAAAAGGTTCTTATCATAAATAAAAATGGGTCTCTAATGATTAATTCAGTATTATATTTATCCAGGTTTATTGGCATGGGGGAATACATTGGTTACCATGGAATCAAAGCGGAGAATCTAACAGCAGAGTAAAGGACCAGGCATCAAAAGTATCAGCAGAGTGAGAAACCCTCTTTTAAACAAAAAGGTCTGCCATATGAACATGACTGTGTACCTTTGGACAGCAGCCTGTGTACCACCCAGTGACTCCACATCCCTACTGCACATTGGAACATGTTGTATTGTGGTTTTTTACCTTGTGTTATTTCTGCAATGATTTGCTCCTATTTTCCCCAATGGTCTTACCCTTAACTGCCCCTTTTCTTACATGTTAATCCCCTTCCCCCTCTGGGGTCAATCTGCAGAAAAGTATTGAATCATTCCCCTGTACCCTCCCTCGTACCTTCTCCATCACTCGACTCCCCATCCCACCTTATCTAGAACCTTCCACAAGGGCGTGGAGTGATTGGGTGAGGGCCCGGGATCCCTCCTCCCTGCCTTCCCCATTGGGTATCCTTCTGTCTCCCCTGAAATCCCTCACTGGTCTTGGGGTGATCCCTTCCCTTGTCTCCTCCCCAGTTTATAAACTGTTGCACCCTACCTCTTGGGCTCTAGTCTCGCACCGCTAAGGTTCAGGGTTCCTCAGGAACGTTCAATAATCCTTGGAGTTTGCCTCAGAAGAGAGTCAGCCTGTTTCCTTCCATGGTAGTCACCAGCCTCTCCTCCCAGCAGGGCCAACTGCATGAGCACTGACCTGGAGATGCTGTCCAAAATCTGTCAGAAGATACGAGAGTGTTCCCTGCTGCCAGCCGTGTCAACCCAAGTGGGCATTGGGTGGGCACAGTAACGAGTACAGTTTTGAACTAGCTGAGGATTAGACTGATAAAATTACATTTCATAAAACCTGAAGTCCTTTCAGTTATGTTGGTTTTCAGAGCAAAATGTTGAGGAATGCCCAACATCCATCATAGCCAGCAATTTGCTTGTAGTAATTCTTTGTCTGAATACTGTTTGTTTCACAGTTACAAACTACTGAGGCCAGTTAATTGGCAAGCAGTGTGGCTGGAGATGGAATGAACACTCTATTGTGAGCATCTGATGAACTTATACATACACATTTTTGAGAGAAACTGCTCTTCATGTCCACTGTTGAAAGAAAGCAAATATTTTGGGGAATATGTGGTACTTACGTGAAATCTGCTAGCCACAGATATTTCAGCAGCAAGTATGGTATTTATAGCTATTCAGGTTTTGCAAGGATAGTGCATCTGAAATGAAAAAACACACCTAGACTGTAAAGAGGCAAGACTCTCAAGCCACTTCTTTCAAGGTATCTGTATTTTGCTGCTGAAAATCACATCCAGGATACATAACGGGATACTTCCATTGACACCACACCCACAAAACAATCAGCGCAAAGAAACGGTATTTCTTAGAAAAGTCACCTTTAGTTTAGTGACCTGGTTACAGACTGCTCTAATTCTCAGACAGCCCTTAGCAGGACTCCTGGGACCTTCGGCAGAGGCGCGAATTCCCTCTTCACCTCCAGTGGCCACTTTGCCCTGACAATACTCGGAGCATTGTTGTCCGCCGGTGGCTTGGGCACCATCGCTCCCTGTGGGGCAGCTCTGCCCTCGTCAGTGGCAGCATTTCCCAGAGCAAAGCTATGCGCTGTGCCACAGCCAAGAAATCCCTGCAGGCATCAGCGTGACAGAAACGCTGCCTGCTGCCCGCGGACCCCTGCTGCACAGGGCCGTATTTGGTATTCCTCGGTCAGCTCCGCACAGATGGTTTCAGACCTTCGGATCCTGCCGTCTGCAGCGGGCTCGGCACCGCCTCGGAGCCGTGAGCTCCCTGAGTCCGCCCGGACGCCGGCCCCTCGCTGCCCGGCCCACACCGCACGGGGCTCTGCCAAGGGCAGCGCAAGCGACGCCAGGACAGCGCCGGGGAACTTTATTGTTGGCAAAACCAGCGGGCACAGGCTGCACGCCCGCGGCCCCAGCGCGGGGTTCCAGCCCGGCGGCTGAGGAGAAACCGGCTCAGCTCCCCGGGACATCCCGGCTGTGGCCGCTCCCCGTCCGGGCGAGCGCTGCTAGGCGATCCCCAGCTCGTGGGGCAGCGGCTGCCCAGGCCAGCCCGGCCCGCGGCAGAGCCTGAGGGGCGGCGGAGCCTGAGGGGCGCGGACGCACAGTCCGGCCGGGCGGGCGGAGGGGCGGTGGCGGCGGGACGTACCAATAGCCCCCCGGGGGAGGGCTCCGTGACGCCCCCTCCCACGCGGCGCCCCCGAGACCAACGGGAACCCCCCCACGATGCGCTGAGCGCGAGTCCCGCAAAGCGGGGCGGGATAGAAGGGGGCGAGGCGACTGGCCCTGAAGGGGGGGGAGGTTGTGGGGGTCGCGGTGGAGGCGCCTGGCACACGCGTCCCGCCTTCCCCCGACCCCCCCCTCCCTGCGGCGGGTGGTGCGGCCCGCTCTGAGAGGGCGGGAGCGGCGCGCCCCGCCCCGCTCAGTGACACAGGCTCCGTGTGGGGAGGCGCCGGCGGCGCGGGCAGCGGGACCGGGAGGGACTGGCCGGGCTTCGTAGCGGCGGCGACTGCGAGCCGAGTGCGAAGCATGGCAGGGGCTGGAACCGCTGCGGAGGCTGCTGCTGGTTTCCCTCCTTCGCCGCCTCCTCCCGCCCGCCGGGAACTTTTCCTAGCGGCTGGTGGCGGTGCCTCCCCCCGGTGGTGGCAGAGGCGGCGGCGGCGGCTGCTGCGTTCGGCGGTGCCTCCTGGGCCGGGGCTGGGGCTCCTGGGGCTGGTTTTCTCTCATTTCTGCTGCAGTAAGTGGAACTTTTACCCTTGGCGGACGGGTGAGGGGGCGGGTGGAGGAAGAGGAGGAGAGAAACCCGAGCCCCGGCAGCGCCGGGGGACGCGGCCGAGTTGAGGGAAACTTTGTGTGGCGGCCGGCGGCGGGGAGGGGTGGCGGGGGCCGGCGGCCGCCCTGCGCGGGGGGAACCGGGCCGGACGGGGCCGGGATGGTGGGATGCAAGGCGGGTCCGAACCGGAGCTCGTACTGCGGAGAGCTATGGACTCTTTCCTCCGGGAACATCCGCTGCGGGTGTCCCGGGAGGCCAAGTTTCCCTGGCACTCGGGCTGCGGTGGCCGCGGCCCGGGTGGGGCAGCAGGGAAAGTTTATTGTTCGTGGCTGGGGCTTCCCCCGGCGGACGGCAGGTTATCCGCTGTAATTCCCGTGCTGGGCGGCGGGGTTTCGCTTGTTTGCGGGAATTCACGGGCACTCCCCCCCCACCCCTCTCCTTTAGGAAGGACAGAAGGGTCTTGGTGTTTTATGCGGGTGCGCCTGGGGGGAGGAATAGTACGCGCTTTGCCTCGGGCGGTGTGGGCTCGTATCGTTGTTCCCTTTCAGTGAGAGAGAAAGCCGTGCTGGTTTCGCTGTTGGGTCGCTGGCCGCTGCTGCTGAGATGGGATCGTGTGCTTGCTCTACATCACCCGCATCCTGAGCAGCTGCTGCCGGGGGCACTGCGCTGCGGGTCCCGCCGGGCTTGGCGTGACCGCCCGCAGGAAAATGCCATCACCTACTCCCCCCTTCCCCTCGATCTTCCTGTGAGGAACAAACAAGCGACGTAGCAGTTGGAAACTGAGCAGGAATTTATTTATTTATTTGTGCTCTGCTGCATGCGGTGTAGTGTGCGTAGTGTCTTTTTTTTTTTTTTTACAGCAGTGGAAGATGAGAGGAGATAAAAGTAGACTTGGGCAAGAGCAAATCGAAAACCCTCTTGCTGCCGTTGTATTCCCAATGCAATAATGAATAGTTGGCAAGGATATTTTATTATAGGAGACGCTGTGTCCCTTCCCTCTTTAATGAAGGAAGAACAAGTTAAAGGAGGTAGTCTCTGGAGGTTCGTGTGATAAAAATACCCAGGAACGAGCAAGCCATGCCGCCGTAAAACACTTGTGTAGTATCTGAGTATTGCTTTCTCAGGGAGGGAGTTGAGGCGCTGTAGGATTGTGCTCGTGCATGTAATAGTCTCCCCCCTCTGGCAATGATGTACCTTTCAAAAAAGATTATTGTTACTAAGTTTGTAAATATTGAGAAGGCATCACGTTTCAAACTTAAAGGCTTGAAGACTTAAGTTTTCATATGGTTGGCAAACTTTTTCCACTGGCACTTTTCTCCCCTCCCTTTCTTCAGGATTATTTCTTCTCTTTTGCGATTAAAAAATTGAAGTTGCAGACTTGACATAACCTTGACAAGCTATTTTTACATCTAAATGTGAAGTTAATAGTAACAATGAAGCTAAGAGCATCCGTGCCTAGTGTCATATAGCGACTCAACCATTTTAGTCTTGATGAGTGTAATTTGGGTTGTCAGTCTTCCCGGATTCTTCTTTTTGCATAAGTGAGCTTGACTGATAACACTTCAGAACATCCGGCAGAAGTGGCAATGTTGTGTTGAAATAATTTTGTTATTCAAGCACAAAGTTTTGAAGTATAATCTCTGGATAAAAAGGAAAACTTGAAAACTGCTACAGACTTTTGGACTTGGAGGTAATCAGCAGGGGAAGAGTTTTTTTGTTGATATCTTAGGTTTTAGTTTTCTTTTCACCTTGAAATTTCCCACAGTTGTTTTCATTGTTTCTGTAACTGTAACATGTGACTGTGAAGGAATAATATTATTACTGTGGCTCTTAAGAGTGCTCCTAAATATATTTTAAGTATCTTTACGTGTTGATGGAGTCCAAAACTGCTTATTACTTTTGATTGCCTTTTGTCTTGCTACTCAGCCACAAAAGATCACAACCCTAATAGAATAAAGTTGCTACAAAACCAAATCAATTTTTATCCAGTCATTCCGATTGACAGTTAGAATTGATGATTTATTGGAGCTATAATTCCTCAGAGACGTATTGCCAAAAACCTCTCAACACTCATACTAAAAAACTGAAGTGGGAAAGAGAAAATATATCAGAAATCTGAAATAACAGCAGCTTTTCTCTTTTGGAAGAAATACAGACCTGCTTTAATAAATGCTGCTTCTTTTACAAAGCAAGAACTGCTGGCTTCAGGTTATATGTATGAGTATTCTTCCACTTGCCTGTCAAACAGTGCATGATACAACGAAGTGCATACTGAAGTTACATGATCCAACTAATGCAGCCTTGAACTAGGGGACATGTATGGCATCCATAAGACTCATCATCATAACCTTTAATCTATAAAGTAACTTACTTTGAATCACAGCAAATACTTTTCAGCTGTGCTGTAAATGAAGACCTGTGTGCTACTAAATAACGAATTCCTCATCATTCCTGTGCCTCGTTTGTTCACTGTGCACACAATGAAAAATGTTTGGAATTTTTTTTTTTTAATTTAAGCAGGAATTAAAAATAAGCAGAACTGTAAAATGAGTTGAATAGAAGGATGTTCAAGATGCATTTTGCAGATATTTTGTTGAAGAAATAATTTTTTTTATTCAATTTAAATTGCTGGTTATGTTAAGCTTCTCAGTAAGGCTAGACAAAGAAGTACACATATGTCTTCTAAGATCCAAATGAATTTTTTTTTCTTACAGGAGCCTGGAATACAGAACTCCAGACTGGTAGTAGAACTGGAAGGATTGTGTTATAAAGGTGGAGATGATATAAGAGTGCAGTGTACCATATACAAAATTAATAAATGAAAACAAAATCCCCAAGTAATTATTGATAAGAACAATGTGACTAGAAACATTTTTACTGATTTTTCAGGTGAAGTCATGGCAAATTAGAATGTCAAGCAAAGCAGGTTACCATCTTGAAAATGAGAAGGTGTAATAGAGTGATCAGAAGGACAACGGAATTTGGTTTTTCCTCATTTTATGTTAATAGTTTAGAAATCTATGTCTAAATATGCATTTATTTTTTGAAAATGGTATGGAAATAAATGCCCATTTGAACAGGTGTTTGCTGAAGCAATACGACATCAGTGAAAGAAGGAATAGGAATGCTGTAGAAGTATTTGAAAAGTTGGAATGAAATAGTGGTGAACCATGAAGTAGGTTGGGCAGTGTATGAAGCTGCTGTGTGAAGAAACAGAGCAGCTGCACGGGTAAGAATGACAGATTGGAGAGTTTGAATCTGGATTGATTGATAATTAACAAAAAATTTTTAAAAGTTGCCAGAAGTTTGTCCAGCCTGTACTTAAGGGTAACTTGTTGGAATATTGTACTTTTGAAAGGATTCTTAGCTGTTTCATTGTGGTAAGTTTGTTATTTTCAATGTTATTGTTACACTGTGGTGCTTTTGGTGTGCAAGAACTCCCATATATATGGAAATGAGGTACAATGTTACTTGAGTTAGGGTCTGAACACTTTTGAATATCATAAAAGAATTGTGATGGTTGTTTAGTCACTTGTGCTGCATAAAAGTTGAACATTAACTTGATTTAAACAGTGTTTCTCTCTTGCCTTAAAGAACTTAATCTTATGTCATGGGATATACGTACTGTTTGATAGTGAAAAAAAGATACCTCTAGCAGGATTTACTTTTTGTGAGTTTAGATATTTAAGTATCCTGTTTAAAAATATGGTCAAATTTAGGTTGTTTTCTTTCTGATCCCTTTTATGTAGTATTGCTGACAGGGTTGATACTGAAAAATAAAGGAAACTAATAGTAACAGGAGAAGCAAAAATATGTGAACTTTATAGACCACTGGTACCAGTTGATTACCCTTCAGGTGCTGGTAGCAGAGCTTTCAAGGCAGGCACAATCTGGTGTAAATTGCGTCTGTGTGAGATGGAAAAGGAGTTGGGAGTGTGTTGCTTCAGAAGGCAGTGTGTGGGGCTAGTAAGTGGAGCATTTGTGGAGCTCAAAGGAAAAATAAGCTGGAAGCTCTAGAATCAAAAGTCCAAATTTTAATCTGTAGAAACCAAATCCAGAGTGAAAGAAATTAAGGTAAGAGAAAAATAAAACCTGGTACACAGAAGATTATCTTGCTAAGTGCCAGATAGTTGCAGTGCTGCTGATAAATGTGCATTTTCAGTGTTGTTTATCTGTTGAAGAGCAATAAACTGCATCTGGTGTTACACCAGCCTGTTGCTGTGGAGGTGGCCTGCCCTGCTGCTGCATGACTGAATTCAGCTTTGTCCAAACAGCTCTTTATCAGAAGGTACAGCTGTAGACTGCTTGGATATGTGTGCAGAGAAGTGAGTGCTGAGATTGTGTGTGTTGTCTGCTTGCTCTGGAGCCCCTGTACACTGCCTCTTAAAGATGGCTCTGTGATGACAGATTACTTTGCTATTTGTGTTTGTACTTCTTGTTTCCAGCTTTGAATGAATCTGTTGCATTGGATGAGCATAATTGAACTTTGGTTGATTGGGTTTTTTTTTGCCCTGATGACTTCTGTTTTGATTGGTATTGTGGATTGTAATGCAGACGTTTCTGTCAGGAATTTTCTAAGGCAACTGATAATTAGAAGTGAGTGAGTAGATTTGCTAATTGAGAAATAGGTATAGGTGCAATTATTTAATTATTATTACTTTGTTATGCCACATGTTCTTGGGTTTTGTGGTTGTTAAAAGGTGGAGGTATATATGGGCTTTAAAGGTACCTTTAACCAAAACTCTTTTGTGTTTCTGTGGTTTGGTTTTGGTAGGGTTACCTGTCTAAAACAAGGGTTTTAAGGAGGGTAGTTGTATTCCATGCCTCAGAGTTCATAGGTGTATGAAATGCAGTAATATATTTTTATTGAGAGGATGGAGATTATGAGTTTTTGATTAGGCATGAAATAGGTTGATCAAGCTTTCTTGTTAAAGGGGTCATGAGTATTATTCTTTATTCCTGGT